AAATAAAAAATAAATAATAATAACTTACTGTTTGCCTCTAGGATAGTGTCTGACGTATTCTCCAACATCGAAACAAGCAACGCTCAATACTAAAGGATCCTTGCTGACTTGCAGCAAATGAACTAATATGCGAAGCAGTTCGTAATTCTTTTCATTAAGACGACCCGAATTTTCTCGCCAGAATTTCCCAGACTTGTGAACAGGTGACCACTCTAGTCTACCAGATTTTACTTCTGTAGCGTATTCATCAAACGAACTCAAATCTTGGACAGACGCTTGCAATTTATCATTCAAAAATTCAATATCATCCATAATATCTTCATCATCGAATTTTCTTTGGCTGAGGATAGACAATTGTTTCAAGACTTTGCACTGAACCATGGCAATGCAATGCTCCTTTGCAACTTGTGAATCTTCTACTTTTTCAATCAAGTTCTAAAGAAATTTTCGTAATATTATCAAGATGAATGACCAAACTGGAGGAGGTTCCTTGATGAAACATGTTAGAATTAACTTACTCTGAATACTGCAAGAATGATTCTCGTGACTTTTTCTTTAACCGAATCACTCAAAATATCGGCAAGTATGACGATGACGTTGAATTTATTCATTTTTTCAGCAAGTAAAGGATTAAAGGTGAGCACCCATAAGCAAAATATCAGCTGGTACTGGACTTGAAAATTAACTCTGCCAGAGAGAACACTCAGGAGAGTGGAAATTCCATCAACTGACACAAAGGTGAACCGATACTCATCTATTCTAAGCATCATTTGCAGACATCTTGCGGCTGATTGAATGTAATCGTTATTCTGAATCATATAATTAATATTTATTGAATTTTTATTTGCACTCTTTGTCTCCAGTCTATTCGTTTGTTCTTCATTTACTTATTTATTTCAATAAATGTTTCCAATGGTAGATGCATGCATTTTAAATAAAAAATTTAAATGTCATTTTTATGAGTGATCATCATGCAAGTTGCATCAGGAAAATACTCCTTATTAGGAAGAAGAAAAAAAATGAAGCAAGCACAACAGCTATTCAAGAATGAAATGTTAATGCCATCGGCTTTGTACGAAAGGAATTCTTCGTCAATTATTTTTGTAAAAAAAACTTGGCGTTTCAATACTTAGTTATTAGGAAATCAACCATTAATTAATTATGCGGTGTTACTAAACCGACCGGGTTGAGCAATTCATGCAGCTCATTGGCCTCTCCAGCTTCAGTGGAATGGTCATCTTGTATTATGTCAGCATGCATGCTTCTCTCTGGTAGGGCTTCAAACTAAAAAATCCCCTACTTACTTAGACTTATTCTGTTATTTATTAAAATAATTATTTTATCATGGAGCAAGTAAGCAACACTTACAAGCTGTTTTAGAAAAGAATCGTGTAATTGATATTTTTTTCTAATTTGTCACGCAATTTTTGTTTTTGTCAAGTTAGATCATTATAAAGCAATTAATTTACATCATTTTTTATCAAAGTAATTAATTGCATGAAAACGTTATACAAACGAATAAGCAAGCTTGAATAAAATATCGTGCAAAGAACCAGCAGTTATCTATCTTACAGCATGCGTGATGAGTTAATCTCAATTCGTAGTTGCAATTAGTAACACAAAAAACAGACACATGAATAAAACGTGGAATGAAAGAGATTGATGGAACTACTATGGATAAAATAGTGAGATAAAATCAACATTTCTAAATCACAAGCTCAAACCATAAAACGCTAAAGTTTCGCAAGTAAAAAAGTACTTTAATTTCTCAAAGACAAATTGGAAATTAAAAAACTTACGCTGATCTTGAGCTGATCCTTGAGCCAAGTCAGGTAAAATTGAAGGTCAGTTTTTTCCATAAGGTCGTGACTCCAGCAGGCTAATTTAGCAATTATTCGAGCTGTCATGTTCATAATAAAACCATCCTGTCTGTTCAAGAGGTTCAAAAATGGTCCCCAGACTGATTCTCTTTTACGAGTGGAGTGTTCCCTGAAAATTTCCACACGACTACGATTTTCCTGTTGGAAAAATGAACGTTTGAGTCTTTGTGAAGACGACCTTCAGTTTTAAAACATCAACTGGATATGTACTTGGAGCATGTCATCAATCATGGTAAGGATGTATTGAATGGTCTGATCTTTGGATACGTGGCCAAGTAAATTGAGGAAAGTCTTGGCAGCCTGTCCAGGGTTTTCTTTGAGCTTGGCCTCTCTGACATTAGTGTCACTTGTATCAAAAGCAACAATAAAGTCGTAATCCTCCTTTGAGATCATGTGAGACCTGGTGAACAAGAGACGATGAGAAATAAAAAACAAAGCTTGCCAAGAGCCAACAGAGGTTCTCAGTCATGATATAATCATTGCTTTGGGTACTAACTGAAGATAAGCCTGCCAATTGATCCTCTGGCTCCTAATGTCAGCAGCTTGCTGCTGCAGCATGCTCGTTGCAGCAAGCATATCTGAAAAGACAAAGGTATAAGTAACAAATCGTTTGTCATTAGAACCAGGAGAAGGCGATGAACAAGAGGAGGAGTGTTATTGCGCGGAAGGGAGGGGCTGCTCCTGGGAGGGCTCACCGATGTTTTCGTCCGGCAAGGCCGGGATGATTTCCTTAATGTTCGTGCGATCCGCCATGGTTGCAGAGAAGGAGACTCGCTAATACGGCTGAAAAGCAGCCACTCCTCGATTGTTTTGGTATTGTTATTCTATATTATTTATTTGGGCTGCTCGACATACACAGTCAATAACAAGTTACGAGCACAACACCTACTGCTTCTTCATCTTCGATCACAAGCTTGGTCACGAGATCATTTGGAGCAGTTGCGGAGAATATGGAGCAAAGACGACGTTCTGCTTGATCGACGGAGAATTGCAGTTTGACAGTTTGACGTCACTTGATCAGCTGATCAAATATATATATATATACATTTGTATCCACATTATTTCATATTTTCGCATAAGCATTCAATTTTATGCAACGGTTTTTTTGATATCGAAAAATATTATCAAACCATTCGTTTCATCACTTACATAAGTGACTGATATGATCATCCGTGTACCGATCTACCGATACCGATCCCGTAAATAAAAAAAATTTCTTCATGTAGGTAATATAGATAATCAAAATATCACGTATCCGCGCCGCGCATCCGCTGATGAGATTTTGAGATCGCAGTTACTGCAGTTACTGCAGAACTGCCGAACAGGTTGTTGTACACAATAATCAGAAATGGTGTTTACGTTTGACTTACATTCTTGTACGAAATGAAGAGCTTTAACAGCCTTAACAGTCAAATTTAATTATTTGACAAGTGATTTTTTTTTTTAAATCTTCTCGAATCTCTGAACAATGCCTCCAACCATACAGAACGGAGCTGCTGAGAAGCGCAGTGTAGCACGACCAGCAGAGAAAAGGTAAACAGTAACGCCTTTACAATCCTCAGTTTTTCTGTTAACACAACCGATTCAAAGCCACTCAATCTTTATCTTATGTTTACTCAAGATAAATAAGCATCACAACATTTTACTTTAATGTTTAATTTTTGTTTCAGATTGGAGCTTATATGCAAAGTCAAATTTTGCAACTCGCTTCCAGACATTGCATTTGATCCAAAGTTCATTAGTTATCCCTTTGACACAAACAGGTAACAAGCAGAACATTTAATCTATTCAACAACAGCTCAGATAATAGTCAACTTCTTGCATAATTGAATTTTTCTTTGTAGGTTTATTCAGTATAATCCAACATCTCTAGAGCGCAACTATAAGTACGACGTACTCACTGAGGACGATTTGGGAGTTGAGATCGATTTGATAAACAGAGAGACTTACACCAGTGATCAAAATGCTCAATTAGATCCTGCAGATGAAAAGTTACTGGAAGAGGATGTTCTTATGCCACAAGATTCGAAAAGGTCGAAGCATCATGCAAAAAGTGTATCTTGGCTCAGACGTACAGAATACATTTCCACGGAACAAACGAGATTTCAACCTCAAACCACATCTGACAAAGTTGAAGCAAAAGTTGGTCATAATATTAAAAAGCATTTTAAGGTAACTTTTATTTACTATCTATAACGCAACGTTAATATTTCATCACTTCGATTTAATTGTTATTTTGATCGCTTTTTTCTTTTTTACTTCAGGAAGAAACGTTATGTATGGATCGCGATTCACAAATTAAAGCTATTGAGAAAACATTTGAAGACAATAAGAAACCCATTGAAAAACATTACAGTAAAGCTAACGTTCATCCTGTGGAAATTTCTCCTGTTTTTCCAGATTTCAAGGTATACCTTGTTGTGAAACATAGTACGGCGGAGTGTTTGATTTTGATTATGGATTTTTCAAATGTGTAGCTGTGGAAATACCCTTGTGCCCAAGTTATTTTTGATTCTGACCCAGCACCTATGGGACTGTCGGTTCCTGCACAAATTGAAGAGATGTCTCAAGCAATGATTCGGTAATCGTGATCAAGCAAAACTTATTTTCATGAATACTCACTCACAAGAACAGAAACTAATTGATAAAATTTTTATTTTAGTGGTGTGATGGATGAAAGTGGAGAACAGTTTGTTGCTTACTTCTTACCGTTTGAGGAAACTCTCGAAAAGAGAAAGCGAGATTTCTGTTCTAATATTGACTATGCCGAAGACGAAGAGTATGATTACAAGATGGCTAGAGAGTACAACTGGAATGTCAAAAGTAAGGCCTCCAAAGGTTACGAAGAAAATTATTTCCTCGTTATGCGTGAAGATGGGGTAAATACAAACAATTTTTATTTGTCAAGATGTACAATAATAATAAATAGTGGGTAAATAAACGGCTCAATTTTCGTGCAGGTGTATTATAATGAATTGGAGACGCGTGTAAGACTGAGTAAGCGTAGACAGAAGGTTGGACAACCGGCTAACAACACGAGGCTTGTGGTACGCCACCGGCCATTGAACGCCACAGAATTCCGTATGCAACGTTACAGAGAAAAACAACTTGAACCACCTTGTGAGGAAGACGAAGAGGAGGAAGAAGAGGAAGAAGAAATGGTACCTCAAAAGACCGAGGACAAGAACGCAGAAAGAGGTACCGTACTCGCAGTGATTTGCTCATGGTTGAGTGTTAATTGCATTCAAAAATGTCTCTTCATTTTCAGGATCCGATGCGGAAGAAAACGAGGATGCTGATGAAGATAACACAGATAACGAGAAAGGCGAGAACGAAGAAAAGGTTCAGAAAGTCAAAAATGAGGGGAGATCACGTTCATCTTCGAGGGCTTCGAGCCACAATTCTGACAAGTCGAGATCTCGGTCCCGGTCGCCCTCGAAAGCTCGCTCTGTGCGCTCCACGCGCTCGAGTCGCTCTGTGCGTTCTTCACAGTCGCACTCCCCGTCAAGGTCACGCTCGGGCTCCCCGGCCAAATCGCAGTCACGCTCGAGGTCCCGTTCGCGCTCAGGTTCTGCCAGTGAAGCCGGTAGTGCCAGTGGGAGTGCCAGTGGTAGCGGCAGCGCCAGTGGTAGTGGCAGCGAAAGCGGCTCAGAGCCCGAGTGAAGTCAACCGCGCTCGTCCCGGGCACCTATTAATTTTTTTTCTTGTTTAGAAGTTTCTCTTTACATCTCAGGTTCGCGAAATCAATTTACTTATTCAAGTTCATCCAATCATATTTTTCCATTGTATTATCTCCATAATTCATATTATTTCATGTTGAATAGCAACAACAAAAAACTTGTACAGTACGTGTTTACGTTACCTGAACACCTCATTATTCAAACGTTAACTATTTTAAGATACTTTTTAACTTTCGATCATTTGACGTTCAAGTTAAGAAATTGGAAATGTTTTCATTGAATAAATATAAATTTTTATATTTTTTACTTGCTACGTGTTACATTATTTTTATATCCTCAGCCCAATCTATAATAAATCGTGAGACACTTTATACCTATTAAGTTCATAATTTCGTTACTTACAAATTAAACAATCATAAATTGTAAGTCTAAAGAGCGGTGCTCCTTGAACCTTGCCACCAAATTGGTGATTCAAGTGATTTTTGGGCTTGTTTCAACAAGTTTTTTCAATTGTCGATTTGTGACTTTCTTTGCCGATTTTAAATAATATGTCAGAACAGAATTTTTTTTTCTGCGTCTGTCGCCGTCGGCGATTGGGCGATGTTAGCGGCGCATATTGGTGACTTTAGGAGACTGTAAAGCTGCTTGTGACGTCATCGGGCACACAGCGCGACGGCACACACGGTAGATGATCAGAACATCTGGATAACACACTGCTTTCGACTTTCGAGTTCGAATCAGTCGAAACGTCGTCATTGTGAAGCATTGGTGGTCATTGCAACACGTTGGTTCTTTGGCAAGTTATTGCGTCATTATATTTTAACGTGATTGCCAAAATTACCGTAGAATATCGATCAATAAATACTCAGCACGTGAACTCTTTTAGGATAAAAAGATTTTAAAAATACGAGTATTGCCTTGAGTTGTAGTTCCAAGTTATTTGGATTGCGACATATCTCGCTGTGCCAGTGCAAGAGTGTGTGTCAGAGGTAGGTGAGTCCAGACACATAGGCCGTTTTCAATTTTTTTTTTTTGTTTCGCTAAAAAGTAATTTGATCTACATGTTCACGTACGCGGTTATTGAATTTGACAAATTTTCTTTCTTAAAGCTTAGTTTTGTGTTGTTTAAACTTTGAGTGAGTCACTCAAAAGTCATTCAAGTTAGACTTTTTTTACTATCTTAAAGATAAGGTAATTATAGCATAATTAGGATGTCGGAAATATACTTGTTGCTTTCACTATTTTTCACTTTTATTTCAACTTTAAGCAACTGTTTGTGACTCCTAAATTTGTTGAATTGGATTTATTATTTTACGTTTACTCTTTGTTTATGTAATGAGGTTTATTAGCAAATGCTTTTATGTAACTTTAAGTGATTTCGTTTTCCTGTGTTATACATGTAGTGTGATTATAATTTTCTGAAACACGTCACTTTTATTTCAATATTTGTTTGCTGATTTAATCAAATTATTTGAAAATGTTTCACAATTTACAATAAATGTTGCAGATGGCTCCCAAAAATAAAGAAAATTCCAATAAAAAAAAGAAGCATTTATCCGAGGATGATGATGATGAAGACTACAGGAAACGCAGAGACAGAAATAACCAGGTAAACTATTATTTTATCAAATACATTGTAATTGATTGTACACTGAATGCAACTATTTAATTTGTGATATGTACTATTTTCCAGGCAGTCAAAAAGTCCAGAGTGAAAAGCAAGATAAGAACACAACAAACATTGGATCGAGTTAATCAGCTGAAGAATGAAAATGAGGTTTTGGAAGAAAAAATCAAAATGCTGAGCAAAGAATTGGGATTTCTGAAAGATCTTTTTTTGGCGCACGCTGGTAATGATACAAGAAATACTTTCATAATGCATTCAAAATATTTTATAAGTTTTAATGCTTTAAGTTATAACAAAAATTTTTTAATTTTCAGGTTCAAACCAACATTCCATGAACATGCAAGATATAGATCTGAATGCTCTTCTTTCAGACGAAACAAGCAAATCAGATCCTCTTTTTAAATCTTAATCAACATAAATATTAACATTCCACAAGAAGGAATGAAGGATATAAATCGAGAAACTGTACATTTTATTTATTAAAATGTTAAGTGGCTATCTCGGAAAGATGCCATTCTGTATGCAGCTCTATGATTTACTCAAAGAAATCAACTTTGCTGTAACAACAGAAAAGAGAAATTTTATTTGACGCTCATCTTTATGTCAATGCAAATAGTATTTCTCAACTGTTGAAAAAAAAATGATCAGTTTGATGAACTATGCATACGTCACAAGTCATATTAAGTTAAAATGCATCTAAAAGAGAAATATTGATTCGATTTGTTCAACGTAATTCAGTTTTTATAGGTTTTTAGTTGAAAATTAAGATGCATCATTAGAATAAAATAAATTTTTTTTATTTAAAATTAATAGTATATTATGTAACAAGTGCAAAAATCACCGAAGATTGCAACCTGCACAAATTCATGATTTCGCTATTATGCTAAGATTAAGCGCACTTGGTGTAAAAGATGCCTTAAAATGATTTTTTTTTTTTTACTTATGTAGATGTTATTATCATTTATATTTCATGAAATTTAAATGACGGAAAAAAAACAATTTTTTTTAGACTATTTAATCGTTGATACTGTTGTTAAAACAGAAACATGTTAGAACGTAAGTGTATTTAAAAAAAATTATAACTTTATTCATCATGTATTTTTAAAATATATGATTTTGTTGATAAANCTATTTTGCTAAGGATCCTCAGAATTCGGTCATCGGAGATAAACTGGATTCTGATGGATTACCAAATCCGGGCTCAATCATTAAATTTGGAGATCCTTTCTATTGGTAAAAATTTATTCGACTACATTATTTATTCCCGTACAATTTTTTGTTGAGTTGGAAAAAAAAAATTTTAGTTTCTTCGACGGAGACCAAAAGACATTTGTATTGAAAAAATATTCTGGAAAAGAAGACATGTTTGTAGATAACGTAAAACTTTGCGGGACTTTACACCAAAGTGTCAATCGAAAAGCCTGTATCACATATCGAATTTCTGTAAGTAAACTTTTAAGATTTTTCATAAAAATATTAATCTTATTTTGATTCATATTTGTAATTGAAATTAAATTAACATTTGCTAGCGTAATCCGAATGTTGGCGATAAGTTTGCCTCTCGTGCTGGCCAAAAAGGTATTTGCTCACAAAAGTGGCCTGCAGAAGATTTGCCCTTTACGGAAACTGGTCTCGTACCAGATATTATATTCAATCCTCACGGTTTTCCGAGTCGAATGACAATTGGTAAGAACGAAATACATTTCATTTTAATTCGATAATTCTTAAAGTTCTGATACATGTGACTTGAAAATTTGCAGCTATGATGATCGAAGTCATGGCTGGTAAATCGGCTGCAGTCCACGGTTTAGTTCACGATGCAACGCCGTTTAGATTTTCTGAAAATGATACTGCTGTTGAGTACTTTGGAAAATTACTTGAACAGGGTGGCTACAACTACTATGGAACTGAAAGACTGTACTCTGGCATAGATGGTCATGAAATGAAAGCCGACATCTTTTTTGGTATTGTATATTATCAAAGGCTTCGACATATGGTCTCAGACAAGTGGCAGGTGAATATTTTCAACATTTAAACTTAAATTGGAAAACTATACAAAATATTTTGATATAATATTTCCAACTCAGGTAAGAAGTACCGGGCCTTCTGACATTTTGACCAAACAACCTATTAAAGGAAGACGAAGAGGAGGTGGTGTCAGATTCGGTGAAATGGAGCGTGATTCATTAATATCGCATGGTTGCTCTTTTCTTCTTCAAGATCGATTATTTCATTGTTCAGATAAAACATTGGTAAACGTCACTTAACTTTTTAAAAATTTAATTAGCGCTCAAGAGCAAATATCATATTTTATAATTTTTTTAACTTTAGTTACTGGTTTGCAAACAATGTGGGACTTTAATTGGACCCGTAATGGAAGTCGTAATGAGTAAAGCAGGTGCAGGAGAAAAAAAGATGAGGTGTCGGTTGTGTGGAGATGACGGCAAAATTGGCGAAATTGAAATGCCCTACATTTTTAAATATCTCGTTACGCAGCTAACTTCGTGTAATATTAATGTGAAAATAACTTTCACCGAAAAATAATTTTTTTTAATTTGTGCTAATTTTCAATACATACTTCATAGGTGATGAATGTATATACTACTTTGTACATAAAAGATTTTGGAGATTTTTAATTTAAAACTGTTTTGATATAATATTTCTTTTTTATTTATTAGAATTGGACATAAACTTTCATTTTCGAAATAACAATTGAATATTATATTACATATTTTTTATCGTTTGCATGAATAGTTAGGAATTTTCATATGCCCACATAATGTGTACTGCATTCCAAGTGAAATGAAGATTATGTACACAATTATTTAAGCTTAGTTGATTTTTTTCTACACTAGATATCTTAACAGCAATTAAAAATAATACTTTTAACTTTTTTGAAATTGAATGAAATTTTTTTGCCGTACATGTATAATTTTTTGTAACTTTTGATTATCGAAGTTATTTATACATATCTATACATACAATATAATGCAATAGTTATTATACGAAAATAGTTACAGATTTTTAAAACTTTTTGATCAAAAAGTAAATTTCATATTGAAAACAACATTTTAAAATCAACAATTCGAGAAAATCAATTATTAACAAACTTTTAGCTCAGATGTAAAAAAAGCTCAAGCTTTTTAAAAAATTAAGCTTTAGCAGGCACCTGAGTTCCAGCTTTGGCTCCTGGTGCTCCGCTACTTCCTGTTTGTTCTTTTTCCAGTTGTTTCCCTAGATACTCCCTGAAAAAGTTTTTATTTTTTTTTATTTTGAGATTGATATCAGTGAACAATTGTGTGATGTCAAAAATAATCTAAAGTCCAACATACCAATTGTGTACCATTAACTTTTGTACAGCTAAAAGTGCTTCATATCTAACATTAGGATCTTCGTGACTCAGTAACTGCATAACTAACTGCTTACCGCCTAGTTGTTCAATGATGCTGTAAATAGAAAAAAAAAAACAGTTAATTTCTTGATAAGCACTGTTTCTGGAAAAAGTTTAACTTACTGTTTGCCTCTAGGATAGTGTCTGACATATTCTCCAACGTCAAAGCAAGCAACACTCAGTACTAAAGGGTCCTTGCTGACTTCCAGCAAATGAACTAAGATACGAAGCAGTTCGTAATTCTTTTCATTGAGACGACTCGAATTTTCTCGCCAGAATTTCCCGGACTTGTGCACAGGTGACCATTCTAGTCTACCAGATTTCACTTCTGTAGCATATTCATCAAACGAACTTAAATCTTGAACAGACGCTTGTAATTTGTCATTCAAAAATTCAATATCGTCTGTAATATCCTCGTCATCGAATTTTCTTTGACTGAGGATGGACAACTGTTTCAAGACCTTGCATTGAACCATGGCAATACAATGCTCCTTTGCAACTTGCAAATCTCCTACTTTCTCGATCAAATTCTAAAGAAATTTTCGTAATATCAAGATTGATAATCAAATTCAAGAAACACGTTGAACAAACTTACTCTAAATACTGCAAGGATGATTCGCGTGACTTTCTCTTTAACGGAGTCACTTAAAATATCGGCTAGTATGACGATGACGTTGAATTTATTCATTTTTTCAGCAAGTAAGGGATTAAAGGTGAGTACCCATAAGCAAAATATCAGCTGGTACTGGACTTGAAAATTAACTCTGCCAGAGAGAACACTTAAGAGGGTGGAAATTCCGTCAACTGACACAAAGGCAAAACGATACTCATCTATTCTAAGCATCATTTGCAGACATCTTGCCACTGATTGAATGTAATCGTTATTCTAGATCACAGATTTAATATTGATCAAATGTATGTTTCTACTTTTTTCCCAATATTTTAATTTATCAACCATTTACTTTAATTATTCATTTATTTGTCTATTTTAATAAATATTCTCAATAGTAGATGCATCTAGCATTTCACTTGTGTGAAAATAAGATCAATAGTATGAAGTGTTGAGATCATTTTTATTAGTGATCATGAAATTAATAATCATGCAAGTTGCATCAAGGCTATACTTATTAATTTTATTAATGGGCAAAAGAAAAAAAATGAAGGTAACGAAAGAGCTATTAAAAACAAAATTAAAAAAAAAAAAAAAAAAAACTCAAATACGAAATATTGTTGCAAAGTGCTTCGTATGAAAGGTTTTCTTTTGATAATTATTTTCGTAAAAAAAACTTGGTTTTCTATACTTAGTTAGTGAAAAATCAACCATTAACAAATTATGGTGAGTTGCTAAACCAACCGGGTTGAGCAATTCGTGTAGCTCATTGGCCTCTCCAGCTTCAGTGGAATTGGCATCTTGTACTATCTCGGCATGCATGTTTCCCTCTTGTAGGGCTTCAAACTAAAAAACCCACTTTTTGCCAATGATTACTTGAAAAATTACTTATGCTTTTGTTGTCATTAATTTTGAGACTTCTTTTATCATGAGACAAGTAAGCAACACTTAAAAGCTATGTATTAGTTTTCTTTTGTTAATTTATAGCGCAACTATTTTTCTTGTCATGTTAGAATATTGGAAAGCTATAAATCACACAATTTTTAAATAATGTAGTCATTAAAAATGATCCCTTTTCATTAAAAATAACCAAGCTTGATTAAAAACATTTGTTCTTACAAAGCACCAGCAATTTTTTAATTCACAAAATGCATAATAAGTTAATCTCAATGAACAGTTATAGTTAGTAACACACAAAGCAGACACTTGTATATGAGTATGATTTCAAATGAAAAATATAGAAAAGTGAAAAAAGCCTGCAAAAAGCGTTGATAGATGAAACTACTATTGGTCAACTAGTGAGTTGAAATCAATATTGCTAAATCATAGCACAAACAATGAAACCCAAAAAATTTTTGAGTAAAAGTCCTTTTTCTTTGTTCAATTTTGCTTCGAAATTCAAAAACTTACGCTGATCTTGAGCTGATCCTTGAGCCAAGTCAGGTAAAATTGAAGGTCAGTTTTTTCCATAAGGTCGTGACTCCAGCAGGCTAATTTAGCAATTATTCGAGCTGTCATGTTCATAATAAAACCATCCTGTCTGTTCAAGAGGTTCAAAAATGGTCCCCAGACTGATTCTCTTTTACGAGTGGAGTGTTCCCTGAAAATTTCCACACGACTACGATTTTCCTGTTGGAAAAATGAACGTTTGAGTCTTTGTGAAGACGACCTTCAGTTTTAAAACATCAACTGGATATGTACTTGGAGCATGTCATCAATCATGGTAAGGATGTATTGAATGGTCTGATCTTTGGATACGTGGCCAAGTAAATTGAGGAAAGTCTTGGCAGCCTGTCCAGGGTTTTCTTTGAGCTTGGCCTCTCTGACATTAGTGTCACTTGTATCAAAAGCAACAATAAAGTCGTAATCCTCCTTTGAGATCATGTGAGACCTGGTGAACAAGAGACGATGAGAAATAAAAAACAAAGCTTGCCAAGAGCCAACAGAGGTTCTCAGTCATGATATAATCATTGCTTTGGGTACTAACTGAAGATAAGCCTGCCAATTGATCCTCTGGCTCCTAATGTCAGCAGCTTGCTGCTGCAGCATGCTCGTTGCAGCAAGCATATCTGAAAAGACAAAGGTATAAGTAACAAATCGTTTGTCATTAGAACCAGGAGAAGGCGATGAACAAGAGGAGGAGTGTTATTGCGCGGAAGGGAGGGGCTGCTCCTGGGAGGGCTCACCGATGTTTTCGTCCGGCAAGGCCGGGATGATTTCCTTAATGTTCGTGCGATCCGCCATGGTTGCAGAGAAGGAGACTCGCTAATACGGCTGAAAAGCAGCCACTCCTCGATTGTTTTGGTATTGTTATTCTATATTATTTATTTGGGCTGCTCGACATACACAGTCAATAACAAGTTACGAGCACAACACCTACTGCTTCTTCATCTTCGATCACAAGCTTGGTCACGAGATCATTTGGAGCAGTTGCGGAGAATATGGAGCAAAGACGACGTTCTGCTTGATCGACGGAGAATTGCAGTTTGACAGTTTGACGTCACTTGATCAGCTGATCAAATATATATATATATACATTTGTATCCACATTATTTCATATTTTCGCATAAGCATTCAATTTTATGCAACGGTTTTTTTGATATCGAAAAATATTATCAAACCATTCGTTTCATCACTTACATAAGTGACTGATATGATCATCCGTGTACCGATCTACCGATACCGATCCCGTAAATAAAAAAAATTTCTTCATGTAGGTAATATAGATAATCAAAATATCACGTATCCGCGCCGCGCATCCGCTGATGAGATTTTGAGATCGCAGTTACTGCAGTTACTGCAGAACTGCCGAACAGGTTGTTGTACACAATAATCAGAAATGGTGTTTACGTTTGACTTACATTCTTGTACGAAATGAAGAGCTTTAACAGCCTTAACAGTCAAATTTAATTATTTGACAAGTGATTTTTTTTTTTAAATCTTCTCGAATCTCTGAACAATGCCTCCAACCATACAGAACGGAGCTGCTGAGAAGCGCAGTGTAGCACGACCAGCAGAGAAAAGGTAAACAGTAACGCCTTTACAATCCTCAGTTTTTCTGTTAACACAACCGATTCAAAGCCACTCAATCTTTATCTTATGTTTACTCAAGATAAATAAGCATCACAACATTTTACTTTAATGTTTAATTTTTGTTTCAGATTGGAGCTTATATGCAAAGTCAAATTTTGCAACTCGCTTCCAGACATTGCATTTGATCCAAAGTTCATTAGTTATCCCTTTGACACAAACAGGTAACAAGCAGAACATTTAATCTATTCAACAACAGCTCAGATAATAGTCAACTTCTTGCATAATTGAATTTTTCTTTGTAGGTTTATTCAGTATAATCCAACATCTCTAGAGCGCAACTATAAGTACGACGTACTCACTGAGGACGATTTGGGAGTTGAGATCGATTTGATAAACAGAGAGACTTACACCAGTGATCAAAATGCTCAATTAGATCCTGCAGATGAAAAGTTACTGGAAGAGGATGTTCTTATGCCACAAGATTCGAAAAGGTCGAAGCATCATGCAAAAAGTGTATCTTGGCTCAGACGTACAGAATACATTTCCACGGAACAAACGAGATTTCAACCTCAAACCACATCTGACAAAGTTGAAGCAAAAGTTGGTCATAATATTAAAAAGCATTTTAAGGTAACTTTTATTTACTATCTATAACGCAACGTTAATATTTCATCACTTCGATTTAATTGTTATTTTGATCGCTTTTTTCTTTTTTACTTCAGGAAGAAACGTTATGTATGGATCGCGATTCACAAATTAAAGCTATTGAGAAAACATTTGAAGACAATAAGAAACCCATTGAAAAACATTACAGTAAAGCTAACGTTCATCCTGTGGAAATTTCTCCTGTTTTTCCAGATTTCAAGGTATACCTTGTTGTGAAACATAGTACGGCGGAGTGTTTGATTTTGATTATGGATTTTTCAAATGTGTAGCTGTGGAAATACCCTTGTGCCCAAGTTATTTTTGATTCTGACCCAGCACCTATGGGACTGTCGGTTCCTGCACAAATTGAAGAGATGTCTCAAGCAATGATTCGGTAATCGTGATCAAGCAAAACTTATTTTCATGAATACTCACTCACAAGAACAGAAACTAATTGATAAAATTTTTATTTTAGTGGTGTGATGGATGAAAGTGGAGAACAGTTTGTTGCTTACTTCTTACCGTTTGAGGAAACTCTCGAAAAGAGAAAGCGAGATTTCTGTTCTAATATTGACTATGCCGAAGACGAAGAGTATGATTACAAGATGGCTAGAGAGTACAACTGGAATGTCAAAAGTAAGGCCTCCAAAGGTTACGAAGAAAATTATTTCCTCGTTATGCGTGAAGATGGGGTAAATACAAACAATTTTTATTTGTCAAGATGTACAATAATAATAAATAGTGGGTAAATAAACGGCTCAATTTTCGTGCAGGTGTATTATAATGAATTGGAGACGCGTGTAAGACTGAGTAAGCGTAGACAGAAGGTTGGACAACCGGCTAACAACACGAGGCTTGTGGTACGCCACCGGCCATTGAACGCCACAGAATTCCGTATGCAACGTTACAGAGAAAAACAACTTGAACCACCTTGTGAGGAAGACGAAGAGGAGGAAGAAGAGGAAGAAGAAATGGTACCTCAAAAGACCGAGGACAAGAACGCAGAAAGAGGTACCGTACTCGCAGTGATTTGCTCATGGTTGAGTGTTAATTGCATTCAAAAATGTCTCTTCATTTTCAGGATCCGATGCGGAAGAAAACGAGGATGCTGATGAAGATAACACAGATAACGAGAAAGGCGAGAACGAAGAAAAGGTTCAGAAAGTCAAAAATGAGGGGAGATCACGTTCATCTTCGAGGGCTTCGAGCCACAATTCTGACAAGTCGAGATCTCGGTCCCGGTCGCCCTCGAAAGCTCGCTCTGTGCGCTCCACGCGCTCGAGTCGCTCTGTGCGTTCTTCACAGTCGCACTCCCCGTCAAGGTCACGCTCGGGCTCCCCGGCCAAATCGCAGTCACGCTCGAGGTCCCGTTCGCGCTCAGGTTCTGCCAGTGAAGCCGGTAGTGCCAGTGGGAGTGCCAGTGGTAGCGGCAGCGCCAGTGGTAGTGGCAGCGAAAGCGGCTCAGAGCCCGAGTGAAGTCAACCGCGCTCGTCCCGGGCACCTATTAATTTTTTTTCTTGTTTAGAAGTTTCTCTTTACATCTCAGGTTCGCGAAATCAATTTACTTATTCAAGTTCATCCAATCATATTTTTCCATTGTATTATCTCCATAATTCATATTATTTCATGTTGAATAGCAACAACAAAAAACTTGTACAGTACGTGTTTACGTTACCTGAACACCTCATTATTCAAACGTTAACTATTTTAAGATACTTTTTAACTTTCGATCATTTGACGTTCAAGTTAAGAAATTGGAAATGTTTTCATTGAATAAATATAAATTTTTATATTTTTTACTTGCTACGTGTTACATTATTTTTATATCCTCAGCCCAATCTATAATAAATCGTGAGACACTTTATACCTATTAAGTTCATAATTTCGTTACTTACAAATTAAACAATCATAAATTGTAAGTCTAAAGAGCGGTGCTCCTTGAACCTTGCCACCAAATTGGTGATTCAAGTGATTTTTGGGCTTGTTTCAACAAGTTTTTTCAATTGTCGATTTGTGACTTTCTTTGCCGATTTTAAATAATATGTCAGAACAGAATTTTTTTTTCTGCGTCTGTCGCCGTCGGCGATTGGGCGATGTTAGCGGCGCATATTGGTGACTTTAGGAGACTGTAAAGCTGCTTGTGACGTCATCGGGCACACAGCGCGACGGCACACACGGTAGATGATCAGAACATCTGGATAACACACTGCTTTCGACTTTCGAGTTCGAATCAGTCGAAACGTCGTCATTGTGAAGCATTGGTGGTCATTGCAACACGTTGGTTCTTTGGCAAGTTATTGCGTCATTATATTTTAACGTGATTGCCAAAATTACCGTAGAATATCGATCAATAAATACTCAGCACGTGAACTCTTTTAGGATAAAAAGATTTTAAAAATACGAGTATTGCCTTGAGTTGTAGTTCCAAGTTATTTGGATTGCGACATATCTCGCTGTGCCAGTGCAAGAGTGTGTGTCAGAGGTAGGTGAGTCCAGACACATAGGCCGTTTTCAATTTTTTTTTTTTGTTTCGCTAAAAAGTAATTTGATCTACATGTTCACGTACGCGGTTATTGAATTTGACAAATTTTCTTTCTTAAAGCTTAGTTTTGTGTTGTTTAAACTTTGAGTGAGTCACTCAAAAGTCATTCAAGTTAGACTTTTTTTACTATCTTAAAGATAAGGTAATTATAGCATAATTAGGATGTCGGAAATATACTTGTTGCTTTCACTATTTTTCACTTTTATTTCAACTTTAAGCAACTGTTTGTGACTCCTAAATTTGTTGAATTGGATTTATTATTTTACGTTTACTCTTTGTTTATGTAATGAGGTTTATTAGCAAATGCTTTTATGTAACTTTAAGTGATTTCGTTTTCCTGTGTTATACATGTAGTGTGATTATAATTTTCTGAAACACGTCACTTTTATTTCAATATTTGTTTGCTGATTTAATCAAATTATTTGAAAATGTTTCACAATTTACAATAAATGTTGCAGATGGCTCCCAAAAATAAAGAAAATTCCAATAAAAAAAAGAAGCATTTATCCGAGGATGATGATGATGAAGACTACAGGAAACGCAGAGACAGAAATAACCAGGTAAACTATTATTTTATCAAATACATTGTAATTGATTGTACACTGAATGCAACTATTTAATTTGTGATATGTACTATTTTCCAGGCAGTCAAAAAGTCCAGAGTGAAAAGCAAGATAAGAACACAACAAACATTGGATCGAGTTAATCAGCTGAAGAATGAAAATGAGGTTTTGGAAGAAAAAATCAAAATGCTGAGCAAAGAATTGGGATTTCTGAAAGATCTTTTTTTGGCGCACGCTGGTAATGATACAAGAAATACTTTCATAATGCATTCAAAATATTTTATAAGTTTTAATGCTTTAAGTTATAACAAAAATTTTTTAATTTTCAGGTTCAAACCAACATTCCATGAACATGCAAGATATAGATCTGAATGCTCTTCTTTCAGACGAAACAAGCAAATCAGATCCTCTTTTTAAATCTTAATCAACATAAATATTAACATTCCACAAGAAGGAATGAAGGATATAAATCGAGAAACTGTACATTTTATTTATTAAAATGTTAAGTGGCTA